GAAACAAGGATGTTATAGAGGGAGTCACACACTACATCAGATGGATTTAAGTTTTCTGTCAGGTTTTGTCCACGGTAGACAGACTTTATATGACCAGAGGGAGACAGAATCACTAGTTCACCTGTAGTATCACTTGAACGGTTCACAACACAGATGTTACTGTTCTGTGTGACACTGTATGGCAAAGTGAACAGTTTGGTGTGACCGTCCTCCTGGTACTCATAATCATGGATGACATCACCTGTCATTGTCATGTGTCTCGCCAGACGTCTGCTAAGTGAGTTTAATTTGTATGGATCTGATTCCCTGTCTATCAAGGTGACCAGAAGTCCACTGTCCACTGACTGACAGATTCCTCCTGGTATCAGTGGATCTGTACTGATGACTGTAGAGACAGATCCTGATGGTGACAGACAGCGGATGGACTTGTTAATCTCATCAGTGAAATAAACATCACCAGTATCAGTCACACACATGTCATTAGGAGAGATTCTAAATCTACTTTCTTTTACACCTTGCTGATTGACTTTTTCTATATAACTTGAAGATGTTTCATACAGGTAACATTGGTCGTCACTGATAGTCTCCAAAGTGTGTATTGCTTGATTTCCATATTGAAAGGAGTTTATCTGAGTCACACTAATATCATCTAAATCTAAGGTTCTTCCAACCACAGATTCAAGAAAGTCTTGATTATTGATTTCACCTCTTATGAATCTCTCTGAATGTTCCCATTTTGTCATACATGTCATATGAACCTCCAATTCAGACAGCATTTTCTTCAGTTCTCTGTGGTTGTCAATCAAGCTGTAATCTGACATGGTGCTGTTGTTCTCCTCCATGAATTCCACTGTGTCAACAATTCCTCTCTTCTTCTTCTCTAACTCAGATTTCACATGGTTAAGTTGATCATTCTTCTTAACCAGATTGTTTCTCAGTGTTTGTTCATGATGTCCTCTGATTTCTGTCAGCCTGGCCATTATCTCATCACAATGGTTTTGTAACTTTTTAATCTCAGAGTCACACAGTTTTTCATTTTCTGTTATCTGTTGTGGAATCTTCTCTACCTTTTCATCAATCCCAGGAAGATCCTCTTCCTTGATCTTCTTCAGAAATTTAAGCAGACCTCTCCTCCTTTCGGTGGCTGCCGTGGGTAAAGTTTTCCAGTCATGATCTCTATGATCTGTTTTAGCACACGTGGCACAAATAAATTCATCACAATCCTCACATATAATATCAATAGGTAATTCATGGGATTCACACATGTTAATTTGAACTAGAGGAGAGCCCAGTGGATATTCTTCCGAGTTATTTTCAGCCATGTTTGTCAGATGAAGCGACCTTGGTAATGATCTATTTTTTAGCGTAATAGTGTGTGCATGTTAGACAATTATTCGATTGTAAAGTTGGCCTTTAAATTTAACAAAAGACAGGTAGACGTGCAATGATTTGTAAATATACAGGTGTCTACTGGTGCATTGAATGAACAGAAAAATCATATATGTAAAATTATGAATTAATTTATGATAGGTAGTTTCTTCTCCAGAGGGAAGTGGTCAGAAGGAAATAGTCAATTTCAAGCAAACTTGTCATATATAATATATAATTTTTCATAAAATAAGAAATTTAATTAAGTTTGTTCAATTGAGGCAGTACAATATACCCTCTTTCGAGTCGAGGCATTTTGAAATTAGGAAAATTAAGTGGCATCAATTATTTAAGTCTTGTAACGGCTATTAGGTCTAAAATTATTTCTTATGTGAAAGCTTACAGACATTATATGTGCATTGAATTTTAATCAATGCTTTTCCCTTGAAGGTAAATGGTTGAGGCAACACTTAGTTTAAACAGTTACCATCTCAAGACACAGAGTTCTGATTAGAGAGTTCTGATAGTTTTCATAAAAAGCAAGCATTCTAAAGTGATGTTTCTACAAATCATGGTACCTTGGCTAGATTCCTTTTATATATATATATATATATATATATATATATATATATATATATATATATATATATATATAAAATATGAGTGGCATTTTCTATAATTTATCGTTTGGTGCTAAGAATTTTTATAATTTTATTAGTTTCACATGCTTCCAGCCTCAAAAACTCTGTCAGGCCTTGATATGAAAGCTGAGCATAAGTCTTAAACACATTTGAAATAAATTCAAATAAATAATTAAATACCGTGTTGCTACTCATTTTTTGGTGGCCAATAACATATAAAGGTCTGTAATTTAAAGAGAAAATAGTTAGGTGGAAATGGCAAATAGTAACAAAAAGGAAAATTATTTATATTCCTGTATGGCCAATTCATTACCGAAACAAACCTGTTGGAGTTTGGGATAGATCCATGCATCTTTCAAAATTACTGGCATTTTAGCCTGATATCTGTGCATCCTTTAAAAATGGTTATGCTAAAATCATATCAAACCTAATTCAATAAAATATGAGTGGAAATATCTCTTTTATGAATGGCTTAAGCTACATTTGATGGGAAAGCTGCACATCTTCCAAATTGGTCAATTTTTCTGAAAGCTGATGAAGTCTTTCTTTGAAGCCTTGACTTAATTAAAAAACATCTTTACAAATGTACATAAGTTTAAATGAATTTTGTAAATATTTACTTCGAAATGGCACCAAATACTTTAACTTTTTCACTTAACCAAAAATTGTAATTCATAGATCCAGCATCTGAAGCAAGTCTGTAAGTGTGCATCCTTTGATTATCATCCATGCAAATTTGGTCAACATAGGAGTCTTTACTTGGAAATAGGACCTGCATCAAAAAATTTAATTTATCTGTTCACTCAACCAGAATATGTAGGTCAGATCCAGCATCTGAAACAGCCTGGAAGTGTGCATTCTTTAACACACCCAGTTTTTTGTTTTACACAGAAAACTTTAACATGTTCCAAAATGAAAATGTATGCCTATAACCAAAACAAGCTTGGCAATGTGAATCCTTATATGCTTCATCCATGGAAGTTCGGTCAACATACAACTTTTAGATACTTTTCCACTACATGTGCGGGCATTTTAATTATTTTTCTTAAATACAGTGTTTCTTAAATAAAACTATGACTGGGCTAATTTAAAATGGAGCAAAATGTCTGCAAGTGTAAAAATAACCCTGTATACATTACTTTTTGGTACTCCTTGTCTCTCTGTTGTCAATTTATTTATCCATTCAGTCGTACATTGTATACGACTTATTGTGTTTGCCTATAGAATGACCATCTTTTAATGAATATACACAATATCAATTTAGTGAATGGCAAATCGTGCTCAAGGACTGAAATCTCATTGCAATTTATTGCTTTGCATTTTTTATATAAGAGTGTCTGTGTTGAAAATAATTGAAGACAAATTGTCAGAAATGATCAAAATGATACTTGGAAAGCATAGTAGAACTAACAAAGTTGGACAAGTCAAATAGACATAAAACACATGGGTCAGAATTTATGTACATTAAATATGTCTTCATTTATTGTTTTCCACATAAGACATGTCTTTGAAAAAAAGGGTTTTGCATAAAAAAATCTTACAACAGAACATTTATGTACTACATGTAGTACTTCACAGTCATCTTCTTAACAATTTTTGAAAAACTGTGTCTTTGGTCAGCAATATATGTTATAATGTACACATGTGTTCCAGTCTGTACAAAATCACAACAGTTCATTCCTTCAATACTGTAACATTATCATAACTGATTTCATTTGCCTCTCTTATTTCTATAAAATCCACAGATCATTCCTCTGTCCAATTTTTATCAAGGAAAATAGCCAAGGCAAGTCTTTCCCAAGTTCTATTTATAAAACTCTCAAGAGTTATCACTCGGAAACCCAAACACTTTTACAGTACCAGCGTCTCGATTTCTGTCATATGTGTCCCTATCATCGCAGGCATAGGCCAGTAGAGGGCGCTTTGGGTGCCAGGCAACCGTAAACGTAGGAGCTTCACATGTGATCTCCGTGATTTTCTCCCCTGTAAAATGAAAGATGATTCAGAACTCACTGAACATTCATGCTTTTATTTCAAAGTAAAACAAAAGCTGCAAAAGATGTCATTTAAATTTTTTGATTTCTGGTTTCAGAAAGCTATTGTCAGCACAAACTCAGCACCACCAAGCCTCCTCTCCTAACCTGATAACAGGCTGTAACACTGATGTCTGTCTGTCTGTAGTACCTGGCCAGGGAGTGTCTCGGCCTGACCAGATTGTGTTCAGACAACTGTAATGTACCTCCCTCATTAGACTCAGGATGAGGACTCTTAACCCTGCGATATGATTGGGGGGCACCTGTCACCAGAGTTAGTGGGTCAGCTAAGTGTCCGTGTAAGTCTCTAACCTTTTACCATTCATCATGAACCAGATTCTATCCTCCTCACCTCATAGAGGTACATGTACCAAAAACTCCTATCAGCCATATATTCATTAATGAAACTCATTAACCCACTTAGGATTTTTTTTTTTGCCAAGTCACAGTACAAATTCTGTTATTAGAAATAACTTTTAGAAACTTGGAATCTGTATGATTTTAAAATCATTAAAAACATGACTTTGTGTGTTGTGTTTTAGCATACCTGAGTCGACTTCTGCAATGTCTATGATGAGATCCTCTGATGCTGAGGCTAACATTTTACCATCATGACTAAAGCTCAAGGTTCTCACTGGCCATTCTAACCTGAAAAATAGACGACAATTCAGGACAAGATTTCTCTTTCAGTTGAAAAAAGATATGCAATAAAAATGTATAAGACTTCCTGGCATTTGACACTAACCTAGAGAGAGTCCTGACACACGCTAACTCTGCGACATCCCAGATACTGACCAAGGCATCAGCACTTCCTGTGGCAAAGTACTTCCCCTTGGGATCAAACTCGATACAGATACAGTTAGCAGGGTGGGCGTTCAATGTGTGCTGCAGCTTTAAGTCTGGGTAACTGGCAAGAAAAATCATAAAATCTTATTAAAAGGCCTCGTAAATTTTCCCTTACAGTAAAAAAAAATGCATTATATAGCAAAGTATATAACAATATCCAGTAAATAAGTTTATAATATGTTTTAAACTTGAAGTGATTTTTCACTGTGTCAATTTATTACATGTATCTGCTGTAATAAATAGTATTTTACAGCATCATAAATTAAGACTCTACATTGAAAATCTACAAAACCTGTAAAGTCATACTGTTTGCCCACTTTAATGTGTTTACACTTCCCTTATAATGTAAGTATGTGTGTATATTTTAACTACTCTGCCCCTACCTTAAAATGTTTATGCTTCCCTGGCCACTTGTCAGGAAGAACAGATCACCATCATTGTTCCAAGAAATCTCATTGACCTCAAACTTGAACTGTTCCTCGGCCTTTGACCTATGACTTCTGACATCTATAAAGGTGATGAGGTCATCCTTGTTCCCCACTGCTATTGTGCTGCCATCTGGTGACCAGCATATATTGATATTTTCACCTACATGTTGAATAAAAAAATAGACACAGCATAAATGTGTGTAAACAAATTCTTTATAAAGTAAAAATAAAATTTTAGGTTGATGCATGTATGAAATTAAAATCAATTGTTCCCTCTAATAATATCTATTATATATAAACTTTACTTGGTAAACCGTCAACTGGACTTGATTTGCATCTCTGTAAAAGTTTAGATAAGCTCATTCTAGATTGAATTCACATTGACACATTCACGTCATCATTCAAAGTGCATCCAGCTCTTATTTATAAAACAGTCTGTTCTGAATGCCTCACCCTAGGTCTAGGTTTTGAATAGAATGCGTACCCTTTGTGTTGACCGTGGCCACAGAGCGGTTTGTCCTGGCGTCCCAGATCCTGATTGTCTTGTCTCCGCTGGCCGTCACCAGTTGATCGGGATTCTTGGGATGCCAGCAGAGCTGATCTACACTGTCACTGTGTCCGCGGAGGGTACAGTCCTTCACCTTGTTGTATGAATAAATTACTGCTTAAATATAAAATTTTGATATCCGTTCCTTTTACATATTATATCTGGTAGACAGACTACTCGGCCCAACGACACCTCGGCCCGTGCTGGTTGACACCTCGGCCCTGACAGGTCGGCTCAAAATCATTGACACCTCGGCCCATACTGAAGACTGCTCGGCCCAAGGAATAAAATTAAAATTTAGTTTGTTTAAATTAGTTTAATTTTTTTTTTTTTTTTTTTTTTTTTATTTCCTATGGTAATGTAAATGTATACTATGTATATATAATCACTATACGTTTACTATAAATATACGATAATTTCAGTATTTTCTAACAAACCACAGCACAACATCAAATTACAATCCGTTGATTGGGAGGTAAAAGGTCTATTTATTTATTGACTTTGTTGTTTATTACAATGCAACATTATACATTATTAATAGTTATTAGCCATTTTTAAAAAGTTTTGGTTGTCCTCTCCCGACTGACTGACTAAAATATTGTCTACTGCAGTGCATTGTACCATTGAATTTACTGAAAATTATGTGTAAACCAATAGGTCTACACAGAAGTTTATGTCACAAGATTTATTGATTTGTTTATTTTTGATATATATATAAATATATTACTGTTTAATTTTAAAAACTCATATTTTTTTCAAATCAATTCAATAAAATATCAACAATGGTTTCTTACAGGAACTTTTCATTAACGGCTTCTCGTAATTAACTCCCCCCAGTCAACACTCCCCTATGACACGCGCTCGAGACTTAAAAGGTATTGCACTGCGTCTTCTTGTTTGTTTAATGTTTAGCATTTATATAATCAAGTTACTAATTAATGCATTGTCTTTCTTTAATTACCGTCAAATATTGCCGTCTTGGAAGATTGCAAATGTATCAAATTAATTTTCTTTTGCATTTCATATATAACAGCATAAATAATAAATATGTTTAATTAAAATGATATATTTTTGTTTGGGCCGAGCAGTCTTTTATGTGAGCCGAGGTGTCTTTAAATTTGGGCCGAGCCGTCGGAGCCGAGGTGTCAATGGGCCGAGGTATCGTTAGGCCGAGGTGTCGTTGGGCCGAGCAGTCTGACATTCTTATATCTCGCATAACAATCTGATTTTACCCTATCTGACATCATTACTAGCATAGCTATAATTTCACAAGCTGAGTAATGTTCCATCTATAGCTATTTATCCACAATAATAACATTTAAAGTAAAATTCATTACTGACAGTACTGTATTTATAAACTTTAAAACCTGTCGCTATCAAACAAGCACACAAATCACAAATACACGATCTACATAAAACCGCGAAATTGATTGAAGCCTACCATCCGGTCTCTGTCGTTGTCCAGTTGAAACACACTGACAGTTTTGTCAAATGACCCTGAGGCCAGACGCCTCCCGTCACAGCTCCAGGCCACAGAGTGCACCTTGGAATCATGAGCTGTGTGCTCTCGTATTCGTTTGTTTTGCTGAAAATGTTTTCGCATGTTTTCAATGTAAGTCGCCATGTTTAAAATAAAACTTAAAACCCAAAACGAACGGTGAATTCCGGAATAGTGTTTTTTTTTTAAATAAATTCAAATAATAAATAAATTAATCAATTAAAATAATAAATAAAAATTTTAATATGCTCTCAATAATTTCTTTTATGCACTATTTGATTCCTTGATTCTTTTTCATTTCTTTATAATGATTATCCCCCCCCCCCAAAAAAAAGAGAAATGGTTAAAAGATGTTAAAATAAATGTAAAATCTATTTACAGCGGTAACTGGAAATTCCAGAAGCCCCCCGTTTTTTGGAGAATACCCATACAGAAAGGTAGAAGCCCCAATAAAGTGGTAGAAGCCCCACAAAATTGAATGAAATGGGGTACATAAAACCCTAAGGTGATGTTTAAATGAATGATATCAATATCCGTAAATTTTTATAGCCAATTTTACCTCAGAGTCGACAGAAATCGGGCGCCATTTCTTCTTGTCTTCATATTCCGTACACCACGCCCGATCTGAAATCGCGATCGCTGAAGTCGTTTCGAGTAATCCGTGAAAATCATTACCGTAATCAAGTGAAGAATATAATATATGATTTTTATTTTCAAAAAAAATGTATATGAAAGGAAAGTTAAGAATATAAATTAAGCATTGAATATTTACATATTTCCTAAATGAAATAAAATATTAATTATGAACATATTTCTTGACCTACTTGAATACTTTTATCCACACTGGTTTGTACCTACCAAAAAGAATTTTATATCGAAAATCATTATTGAAAATATGAAAATATTTGTATAGCTGATGTGTACTGTTACATTAAAACATTGAGATTTAACCTGGTGATAGAAATTACTGTAACAGTGAAAATACTAATTGATTGGGTGTTTTAAATGAATTTAACTAGGCAATTAATCAATTAATATAGTTTTTTTTTTTAAATTTCAATCATTTATAATATAAAATTAAGTTAAATTAATTAATGAATCAAGTTGTTAATTTATCTAATTTCTAAGGTATTTGTTTTGGTTTGTTTTTCTTCCATGTTTATTCAAATTTGAAGTTCAGTATTCATGCATTCATTATTATTTTCTAGTTACTTGTTGCAATTTTTTTTTTGGTTCTGTTTTATTTGGGGGAGGGTTTTTTTTTTTTTTTTTATCATTTTTTATTTGTGTGTGTGTGTGTGCATGTAATAGAAAAAATTATACCCATTGATATTACATGTATATAAGAAAGCAATATGTATCCATTAGAATGAAATTATTAGAATCCAGGTCCGGGAAATAAAAAAGTTACATAATTTAAAAAATTATTAAAATGTGCATAATTGCATATATGCAAACACTTGTAAAGTGGGTATTATGAGAATATGGTGAGAATATTATTTACACATCAGCTAGCTGTGTTGTTATGTACTGGGATAAAGAGGCACCCCTGTGTGTGTACATGCAATATATACACAGCTGTTGACACTTGGTCAAGTTGACAATGAACTCCTTTTGATCAAACACCTGTTCTCAGCTAGTCTGACCAACCTCCCTCTGGCAGGGCATGTGTATATATACACTGAACCTTAACTATGCCCCATTGTTCTTGACTTTCATTATCAATTTGTAAAATAAATGATTTTGTAATATATTCTTTTTTTTAAATAATGTTGAATGATATGAAATGGTAATATGCTTTAAATACTAATTTTCATTTTAAGGATGTTGGCACACACATAAGGAAAATATGAATTTTGATAATTTTGATATACTAAATAATGATAAATTAAGAAATACCTGAAAAATATTCATAGATGATAGTTTCCTTATGTTCCCAGCTCTAGCCACATGGAGGCCTCCTTAATTGTAGAGCCATTATTTGAATTTTGAAACGGAAAAATATTAAAGCCAAAGGACCGAAGATGACCAAAAGATTAAAACAAAATAAAAAAAACTTAAAAAAGACTTATACATGTTATAGATACTTTATCATTATTCCTAGTCAATCTTTTGTTCATGTATAAACATATTACAGCCAAATAAAAGTAATTGACATAAAATTAAATAACATTATAACAAATTTCATACAAAGGAATTTATAATTTAATTAGCAAGATTAAAAAAAAATTTATGTTCCTAATCTAACCTAACAACACCAAACAGTATATTCACTGGTCTGCACCCGTCTGGCGATGAGGAATACTGCCTGATACTAACCCTACTCTAGAAAAAATAATAATATACAATTTTAAAAACATTTTTGGGTTTTAATGGTTTAAGACTGGTTTAAAAGTGTTTCTGCAAGTGGGAGAAAAAGATAATTCACATAAATTCATCTTCTGTGTCAGATATAGTGTTAGGAATCCAAAACATTATTGAAAAACTGTTAAGAAATAATTCGATTCAGAAAATATTTCTTGGAAGTCTGTTTAGGCAAATGATTTGTGGAACCATGGATCCAGGAAAGTACAATTCTACTGTTTTCGACATAAATAACACACTGCGAAGGAAATATGGGAATTCTCAGAATGTGATATTTTGGAAATGAAGGGTTTAATGAATTCAAATACATATAAAACATTTGGCGTGAAGATGGGATGATTACTTTGAACAGAGAGGCAATGGCAATTTTTAGTCGACAGATTCAACTGGCAATGAAATGTAAAATTACATAAAATACCTATGCTTGGAGATGATAAAAGGTTTATATTTCTAAGTTCATAATTTGTCTAAAATCTAAAAAATAAATTCAGTATTTTCATATTTTGAAATTTATTTTTTTTTTTTGTTCTCTTTGAAACATACAAGTAATTATTAATTAATTATCATTAGTATTTTTTATTATTATTGTTGCTTTGAAGCTTTTAGATATGTTCATATCGCTAAATTCAGAATTTCTCTAAAATCTAAAAAATAAAAATCTTAAATTATGTTAATGGCTAACGTCCTTAATTTTTTTAAAAAATATTTTATTTCCTAATATTTCATATATACGATGATAAACAGCAGCTAGCTTCGAAATTAGATCGGGCGTGATGTACGGTAAACCAGTAATGATGCCCGATTTCTGTCGACTCTGAGGTAAAATTGGCTATAAAAATTTACGGATATTGATATCATTCATTTAAACATCATCTTAGGGTTTTATGTACCCCATTTCATTCAATTTTATGGGGCTTCTACCACTTTATTGGGGCTTCTACCTTTCTGTATGGGTATTCTCCAAAAAACGGGGGGCTTCTGGAATTTCCAGTCACCCAATTCAGTAATTAATTTTTTATATATTTATGAATGAATCGTGATGATCAATGTGCTCTTCAAAGATTGTGGTTCCCGATCAAGGAGTTGGGGGGGGGGGGATTTTAAGCAAATAAACTACGTGCTTATAGTTATGAGTAGCTGCAGAACTGCAGCTCTCCGAAAAAAAATTATATCGATAGACCGGAGTATCAATATAATTTTTTTCAGAGAGCTACAGTTCTGCAGCTAAGTTACGAGGAGGGAGCAAGGATACTTCTTCCAAATATTGAAATGTGAATCATGGGTTTTTGGTGTTAAGGTTGGGTTCTGCTGATATTAACGTAGAACACATTATGTATTTTGATTTTTTTTTTTCTTTTATGTACTAAGTATAAAGGTAACAAACTAAGTGCAAATGTATGATGAGCAAGATCGAGTTCCTCTTCCAAAATTCTGAAAGTTGTGGCCCCAGGAAATCTGGAGTTAAGAAAGGTGACCTTATCATATAGTGAAAATGCATTGTGACAGTCTTCAAAAAGCTTCTTTTCTGCTCATCAGTATTAAACAGATAGACTTTGTGCATGCATGGCTATGATATCAGAGCAATATGCCTCTCCCAATATTCAGAATTCCATTTCCCTTGGTCAGGAGTATACTGACATTAAGAGTAGGGTTGAATCTTCAGGGCAAGTTCAATACTTACTTTTACTGAGCCTCTTTTTAGACTACATATTATTAAAGAAGTCTAAATTAAATTAACAAAAACAAAATCATATACCTAATAGTAATTTTTATTCTTATCCATCATGACAGATGGAATTAATTATAACAATAAATAAACTATAATAAATAACAATTACAATAATTTTATGAATTAATTCATATAAAGCATGATATGGTATTTTTGTTTCATTTAAATTGCTATACATTTAATATAATTCCAAAACCTAGTAATTTTGCCGTTGAAAATATTTTTTAAACAAGCATAAGGTCATTGTTACTAATAAATGTAAATGAAAGAGAAAACATGAAATTAATTTTAAAATATATAGCTGATAAGTGCATGTTTATCTGGAATTAAAGACCTTAACCTTGCAAAACGAAAAATTCACATCAATGAAAACGGTTTAAATTCTTGTCATACAGCATCAGAAACACACACAGACATGAGTATATGTATACGAATTGCCTCACAGAAATTTTACACAGGAAAATTTCATAACACATTCTTCAGAGAATTAATATTTAGATGAATTTTATGTAAGAAAAAAATATACAAATCCATATTTGATACACATTATAGAAGGTCATCCTTTTTATAATGCACTATAGATTTGAAGTGAAAATTAAAAAGTGAGTCAGTTTCTTCTCATATAAGGCAGTACATTTAAAGCACAATTTGAAGCTGACACATGGAACACTTGTCAATCATGAGAACAGGATGCGGACCTCCTCTTTGAACTGGTTCCCTTTATCACCAGCTTTCTGACAGTAAAACTCGGCAGGAGTCCTCAGTCCCAGGTTAGCCAGGAGACGGGCATACTCCAGGTAAATAGCCTCCACCAGCAGTACTAAAAATAGTGACAGTCTTTATCAAGATTTTGTTTTTAAAAAATACATGCTCATCACACTAAATACTATAATATATTTGAGGAGGAACAAAAAGAAAAAAATGTATAAATACAATGTTATTTTCCCCCAAATGTAACTATTGCCCCATCAGGCACATTTGCAAAAAAATTTGCCCAATTTTGATTCACTCTGAATCCCATTTTAAATTTTCTTCTATTTTTTTCA